GCATGCACGGAGAGAACATGCAAACTCCACCCAGAAAGGCCCCTGGACCGGGATTTGAACCTGGGCGACCTTCTCGCTGAGAGGTGGCAGCTCTACCAACTGCGTCACCATGCTGCCAAAAATAACAACAAAATAAAAAATAAAGCTCAAACACCAAATGGCTTTATGAAGGGCATATATGTTGCATTATAGTGGGGGTTTTTTTCCAGCGCTAAACAGACATAATAAAGACCTCCGTTATTTAATTTCACTTCCAATTTAAATTTACCAAATACAGTATTCCCTCGATTATCACAGGGGTTACGTTCCAGACAACCCTCCGCAATAAGTGAAAAACTATGAAGTAGAAACGCTATATTTTTTTTAGTATTTATATACATTTTAAGGCTTTATAAACCCTTCCCACACTTTTGCAATGTTCTAATCTCTTAAACCTACATTTTAACAACATACATATGTACTGTACAGTACCTAGTGCAAAAATTTTATATGGGGACTCACCGGCCTTGGTCCGGTTCTGATCGCCTCTGCATCCACTGAGCGCCAAAGTTACTATGAATAAGGACCAAACTTTTTAGTCAGGTTCAGATCGGATCAAAACTTTCCCCTCATTTTGGCAGAAAGCAGTGTTGGCTTCAGGGTAATGTAGTTCTTTTGGACTGGCGATACAGTATAGACTTATTGAAAGAAAACTACAAAATGGCAGCACGCTTGTCCAAGTACTTTTTTTCCGTTAACTTCTTATCTGTACCATCCCAATCATGTGAGTAATATTAAAGTTAACAATCATTGAAAAATTGTGAAAGAGTGAGTCCGCGAACATCGAACCACAAACTAACCAGGGACTACTGTATATATACTGTATTTTTTTTTTATCAGTCTACAGATGCCTATGCTACATTCTTATGAGAATCTTCCAATGGCTGCAATAAAACGATCACATTGATGAATCAGTTAAATTTTCTAATACACCGTCCTATAACGGCAACTAATGTTGATTTTTCATTTAAATATATTTTAGTAAATGGGTGACGCAACATATTGTGTCAGTATATAGAATGAGATTTCCTGACCTGAATATGAGCATCCTACTTTACCATTCCTTTTTGTTACCTTAATATATTATCTACTTTTTTATCTACTTTTTGGAACGGTTCATTTATTGTTTGATGTGTCTTCCTGCAGGTGATAATGAACTTGAGCCAAGTGTTGGACAAACAAAAAGAAAAGCTTGAAAAGATGAGAACCTTCATGCACTGGAGGCTTCAGCACGCTGAGGCCAAAGAAGAAGTATGAATTCTGGTTTGCACACGTTTCTTATTATAGTTGTACTTTTTAAATGTCATGGTTTTGTGTTTTCCCCAACAGGCTCATGCTTTTCAGGTAGCACGGCAGCACTACAATTTGCGGCTAAAGAAGAAAGTGTGGTTAGGCTGGCACAGCCTCATTCAAAAACACTGGAAGGTCATGGTGGAGCGAGCTTGTCAATCAAAAGCTGAAGAGGTCTGCTCTCGCCTGTCTACAGAGTATGAGGCCAAGCTAGAGGAGGTAAATATCAGGATATGTCAGGCCTGTTCATTTATTCTTTAAGTGTTGTTAATATTTGTCTAAGGTGCCTCTTTAAGATTTGAAGAAAAAATATGAAAAGTGCTTAATTTGTAAACTAAATGATGCTGGAATGCAAATAACAGGGGAGGGGGGGTCATCCCCCAGAAATTTTTGAATAAAGTAGATGCCATTTCCTGCATTCTTGTGTATTTTAACGGGTTGTTAAACATCTACGTTTACCTACATTTGTAAACACTTAATTCAGTAGATATTTTAGAGAGCAACAAGAAGCAGCCTGACCAACAGCTCTCCCCTTGTGTGAACAGAGCATGCTCTGCACCCCCCCCCCCCCCCCCCCACACACACACACACACCTTCATCCGCTTCAATTCTCGGTTGTTTAGTTGTACAATGAGAAGACTTTTTTTAATGAAAGTAAATTGGACTGTCTTTTCGATCGTTATTATTTTGGATATGCGATGTACGTAACGTGATTACCCATCAAACATTTCTCTTGTTTTAATTTTAATAAATACCGGGTAATTAAAATTTTACTAATGACCTTATGACCTCTTGTGTGATATTAGGAAGCTTGTAAGTGGCTGTTGTGTTTAAAATGAGTGTTTATGTAATTATTTTCAGATTACATGTCCAATATAAATTTTATTTGTTCAAGACAGTCAAATTTGTTCATAACTTTTATTATTAGTAAGCCTGAGAGTTTCCTTAACACATACTGTCAAAATAAGAAAGTTCCCGGTTTAGGTTCCAGCAGGATCTGTCTCAAATTAAGCCCTGGATATGAAAGTTTAATTAATAAGTATAACTCTGACAACCAAGTCTCTCCCTGCTTTGCTGCCTGTTTCCACAGCACTGCAAGGCTCAAGAGAAGGCTCAGGTGGAGATTCGCAGGCTGCGAATAGAGCGAGAGCGCTACGAAGAGTCGATGAAGAAAGCCTTCATGAGGGGTGTTTGTGCTCTCAACATGGAGGCTCTCAGCATGTTCCAGTCCACAGAGGGACGACCAGAGCAGCCCCCCCTTCATGAACAGCATGGTCTGTAACAACATTATCAGGAAATGTCTATAAACTGTCAGGCTCATCTTCAAATACAATATTAAACCTGCTGATCATTAAACACATAACTACATGCAGTATATAATTATGGGTCTGTCCTGACAAGCACTGTTTCTGTGTTGTCAGCTGTATACATTTGCTGTATTGATTCAACACAACTATCAAATGGAATCAGAGAGCAAAAAGAGGAGTGCAGCCATGTGCTTTTATTTATGAATGAGAGATCAGTCAGAATCAATTTTCAGTGGCTTAAAATGAAGTGATTATGGATGGATGGATGGAGGATGTGCTAGGTGTTTAATTAAAGGTACTTCGCACAAATAGGCAACTTTAAATAGGCATTGAAAGATTGGCTAATTAAGCTCAAAGCATGACTGCAACAGTAGGATATGGTCATTTTGATTGCTTTGGACTGTAGAGGTCGCATTAAAATATTTAGTTTTTCAAACATGACAGGACAAGTATCAGATCAATTGTGCTAGCATAATTATGAGAGATCAACTGTACTGATCAGGTCCCAAAAATGCTTTGTTGCATTGTACTTAAAGTGTAACTCAAAGCCCCACTGATGTTAGCTCCAATAAATATATAGTTTATATATAGTTTTGATGCCAAACTTTCATTCTGCCGTCGTGTAGGAACAAAAGTCGAGATTTTCCATATTAAGCAGCAATTCTGCTCGAGCACACGGCTGCTGAAGCTGGATCTCATTATCGTTTAGCTTGTTCTTGCATGGTCCTCTGCTCATCCATCTGCTCCCCAAGTTTAATGAGTTTTGCAACCCGAAATGTTTGTCATTATCTTACTGTCAGACTGGACTGATAATTTAATACTCTTTCCTGTTTCTTTATGATCTTTGTCATTAATGAGGCAATTTTTGCACGAAAGACAGACTCAGAAATAATCAGATTTTTTGTTGTTGTTGTTCAAATACTTTGCTTAACATGACGTTCTTTGTTTTAATAGTTAAGAGTTAGCCTCTTTGTGTTTACATACACACACACACACACACACACACCGGTATATATTGTATTTATTATATACATACATATATACTGTATTTATTTATTTTTTGTAGATTTTGCACCTGCTGAAGATGAGCCTAGATCAGCTCCACCAGCTCACATTCAGCCATATCCCTCCACCTCGACAAGGTTTAGTCCAGTTCACTTCGACCACCCAGAGTCTTCTCACAGGGCACACGATGATGTGGTGAGTGCCTGATACTTTAATAAAAACATTCACACACCAACGTCATGCTTATCGTTCAGCCATTCACATAAACACTCTTACAGCTCTTTTTATTAAATAATTCTTTGGATGGAAGTCGCCTGCTTTGTCACTCAGCCCATCTGCTTGTGTTTCTTGTATTTTCTTTCTTTAGGTGGGATCCAGAGCTCCAGTGTCCCACGAAGAACTACTCCCTCCCACCTCAGTGGTGCACAGCTCTCTCCCACTTGGTGGCATTGCAAGTTCACACAAACAGGTCAGCACTGCACATCTTGATTCCCCGATTTTGATACAGCAGACAAAGTTGTGAACAGTATCACTTTTACTTCATAAAAAGTCTCTTTGGAGCTTTCCAGTCCCCGAGTGGTTTTAGCTTATTGTTAACCAGGCCTGTCATGGCTTTACCTTTATTTTCTTACAGTTTTGCTCTATTCCTTCTATATACAGTATTAAAAAAAAAGAAAATCTTGTTTCAGGTCAGTGGTCGTATTGTGACAGCACCTCAACAAAAACCATCTAAGACTGTCACTGCTCGCATCACCGCGCGGGCCAATGTTGGTAAATCAGCACGCAGCAACCTGCAGGTGATGGGAGTGGCTCCACCCATAAGCTCTGTGGTGGTGGAACGTCATCATCCTGTCACACAGGTGACTGAGCATCATTACTGTTCTGTCATTAAGCACAAACAACAGAGATCCGGTAAAATAACTTTTCCTGTTCCTCCCTTTGATCTTGCAGCTCACTGTTGGACAGGCCACATCTGCTAAGTTTCCTCGATCGTCCCAGCTGAGACAAGCCTCCACTACAGGCAGAGCTTCCTCCAGGACACACACCAGCTCATGCCACGTGCACTCAATCAAAGTGGTTGACTGATCGCACACTCGCCATGTCTAGATGTAGAATTTAGTTCATTCTATTCAGTAACAACTGAAAACATTCATTTTTTTACCTGTTTTATTGCGGCTTTACTTCGTGAACACAGCACGTTTTTCTCAGGAAAGTAGTACACATTTTTAAGTATTATTGGTACAACAGCTAAGAATATCAAAATGAAGATTTTTTTTTTCTTTGCACACATTTTTATTTAAAGTTGTACTTTAAATTATGCACAATTAAAACTTTCAAATGTTTGTGTAAGATGGTGAAAACAATCTAGCGCCATTGGTTGTTTACTAAATCAAAGTCATCTAATGATCTGATGCAAGATGCTTTTTTAAAATAAAATATTTTACCCCACATTTATTTTATAAATACTTAGTTGAAAATAGTTTAAACAGTTCATTTTCAGTCTGTATGATGCTGTTCTCTTCAGGAAACGCAGCAGCTCTTGCTGCTGCTGGCATTCTCTGCCTCCATTCGTATCTTATCTGTAAGACAAAAAAATATTTTTTAAAAAATGGGCACACAAACCAGAACTCAGCAATGTTTACATGTTTGTTAGTTTTTTATATTGTTTTATGTGAAACTTGTTAACCAAAAGCACCTGCTGCTTTTCTGTTCCCTGTGAGGATGAGGCCTTCATAGAGTTCTTTAGCAGGACTCCTCTGAGCCAGCTCCTCCCTGTGCAGCCAGATCAACAGCATCCTGTTCCCGTGCTCCTTATAGCTGTGCTGACCTGGAGACAAACACACCCCAGCACAGTCAGGAAAGCCTTTCAACTTGGCATAGCTTCAAAAAAATGCAAGTGCATCTCAAAATATTAGAATATTGTGAAAAAGTACCAATTTTTTCAATCATTTCAGAAAGTGAAACTTATATTACATAATTTCATTACACATGAAGTGAACTACTTCAGAGTTTCTTTATTTGTCATAGACACCACATGTGGTGGAACAATATTTTGTACACAGGGTCCCAGATACATCCAGCAATAAAATGTAAAAGAAAAACAGTAACAAGATCTAAGATATGAACTAAGAAAAACATCAACTAAAAAATATGCTACGCACTAATAATACAAAATACGCCGAACAGCAGCACGAACATGAGTCTGTGTGAGCAGATGAGTACAAATACGAGTGTGGCTTACAAATAATGAAAAAATATATTCAGTGTTGCAGGAAATTAGAATATTATGAAGAGGTTCAATATTAAAAACTCCTGGTGTCACACCCATGACAAAAAGTTTCATCCATCCATCCATTACTTTTAACCCGATTCTTCCTTTTCGGGTCACGGGCGGTCACTGGTGCCCATATCCAGCAGTCACTGTACGAGAGGCGGGGGACACCCTGGGCAGGTCTCCAGTCCATCACAGGGACACATAGAGACAAACGAGACAACCATCCACTCTGTCACTCACACCTAAAGACAATTTAGAGTTACTAATCAGCCTAACATGCATGTTTTTGGTCTGTGGGAGGAAACCAGAGTACCCGGAGAAAACCCACGCATGCACAGAGAGAACATGCAAACTCCACCCAGAAAGGCCCCCCGGCCGGGATTCACTCCAGCGACCTTCTAGCTGAGGCAACAGCTCTACCACAGCACCACCGTGCTGCCCACCTGTGATAGGAGCATTATGCTAGGTTGTTCCTCACACATTTAAAGCATTATCAGATTTTCTACTGTCACACCTGTCCACTGCTCCTCAATAGCAGAAACCTGCTCTTTGGTGAAGCCCCAGTGCTCTGCCAGTCTTTTCCAGTCTTTCGCTTTCATCTGCTCGTACGCCAGATGCCAGGCAATCGAACGGAGCTGCTTGGTCTCACGGCGGTGGTCAAGTTTAAACGTCAGCGGATGCTCGCTGTGAACACTTTCATCAAGCTCGGGGTTGACCTGAAAGAGCAATTAAATTATGTCAGTAGAATGATAAAGGTCACCGGCTTCAGAGAGCCCTAGCAGCATGGGAAGAGATTATTGGCACACATGATTAGCAATATGAATGCCAGAGGTAAACATTTTTACAATCAATAATTTCAGGGAATCGTGCATCTCTTTAATTAAATTGATGACAAATTGGCTGTCAAATGTTTCTGGGCTGCGAGTCTTTTTTTAAACATGGGATGGTTTAATGTTATTAGAGGAGATTTAGCTAATGGAGAATGTGGCGTTGGAGAATAAATCATTTGTGATGAAACCAAAGATTGATTTCAAAGCATCAAAGACAGATTATACTGTAGCAGGTTTAACGTTCTCTCACCTGCCTCCATGCGTTGTATCTTTCTGCTTTGATGATCATGTCCACAATAATCACCTCATTTGCTCTGGCTGCCACACCCAGAGCTGTTTTACCCTGCTGCTCCAAATCCAGCATGTAGAATCAGATTAGAGCAAAGTAAACGAGAAGACACATGATCTTATTTATGATTAGATTTTCTTGTATTTGAATGTATTTCACTGGTGTTGTGGAATAATTTGATCACATTTGGGGTTTAGCATAAGTCTGTTAGTACTTATGGGGATACTTTACTCTGTCCTGGAGCGTTAGATCCACACCAGCTTTGAGAAGCATTTCCACAACGTCAGTCCTGGCGAGCTCTGTAGCAAGGTGCAAAGCAGTCTGGGACCTCTAACAGAGCACGATACAATTCAGCAAACATTTTCCAGGGTTATTGTCGTCCACACACGTCTCGTAGTTTTACTGAGTGAGGGTGATCGCACCTTGTCAGTGATATTGATGTTGCAGCCGGCCACTAGTAGAGAGTGGATTACAGGAATGTGGCTGAGCCTCACTGCCAGGTGGAGAGGCGCCTCTAGGTGCTGAGATAAATACATTTTCATTTACAAATGCTTCGAAAAGGTGAGATGTTTGCAGCAAAGTTGAAATATGCAATTAATCGCCCATCTGGTTTGATTACCTGATTTTGAGAATCTGGATGGGCATGGTACTCTAACAGGAGCTGGACAAGTGGGGTGTAGCCTCTTTCTGAGACCTGATGGAGAGCGCTGCACTTGGCCTACAAAGATATGACGATCAGCTCTACAATTCAAATTGTATTGCTTATTTTTAATGACTAAATAAAAATACTGAAGTGTCATTAATAGATAAGACAGTAGAAGGCAGAAAAAAACAAATTATTTGAATGTTTGAGGTGTTATTGCACCTGTGTGAAGAGGTTGGGGTCACAGCCAGCCTCCAGCAGGGCTAGGACACATTCTTCTTGACCACTGTCTGCTGCCTGGTACAAAGCTGTCTCACCGTCCTGTAACACAGAGACTTGTAAGCTGCTTTTAAACAGGTGGACACTAACTTTTGAATTGACATGCTTAAAACCAATAGGGATGCACAATATTGGATTTTTGGCCGATATGTTAAAACTTCTTTGGACGATCACCAATACAATACCGATCCCCCCCGCCCCAAGACCTATTTACAGAGACTACATAGCTTTCTCTGCCGTGAAATTAAAATACTACATTATTCTGCATGGTCTTTGTCAATATGACTTGCTACCAAATGCAGCTGCCAAAAAGGGGGTTGAAAATGATGTAACACTTCAACTTGGATTATGTTTAATGTCAAATTTATTCATGACGTTTACTCTCTTTAACACAATGACAACACTCGAACAGTGCAAATTTGTACATTTTCCCAAATAAACTCAACCTGTTCACAAGCAAAAGTGAAAAGTGCATAAGTAGTAGCACATTAATAGACTTGACGGTTTCTTAAATTAAAATCGAACTTAAAACAGAAGCCTTTATATCGGTGAGTTATTTTGATGGACTGGCCGATGTTCTATATTTAACTTTATCGCTAATATCGGCCGATACCCTGCCGATAATATTGTGCATCCCTAAAAAACAACAATACAGTATGACTTTAGCATTTCCAACATTAACAGATAAGCATTTTAGCAAACTTAATTAACTGAGGAAACACATGAAATTGTAACGCAAAATATTCACATTTATCAACTTGGATTTTGTCCCTCAGACAGTGCTAAAGCCAGAAGAATATTGTCCCAACGAAGGACAATGTTCTTGTCAGTGCTTCAGTTCAGTCAGATCCCACTTTGTGATGTTATAGTACCCAGAATATGTTTGATTCATCTTAATTAATCCCAAGTCGAGCTACCATCCAGGAGTAGATTATCTGCTGAACGCTAAGCCACAAACCAAACTGTGATATTGAAGCTGTGTACACTAATTGTCTACCGTGTTGACTTCATCCCGAGTATCAAAGCTCTGCAGCAGCAGTTGGACGGCGTCCAAGTGGCCGTTCCTGGCAGCTAAGTGCAGAGGCGTGTCCCCTCTCTGGCAAAGAGAGGGAGGGAAACCACACACATCAAAGAGTGTTTGACTTTGAGCTTTCTTGCAGGTGTGACGCAAGAAAAATGTCCTCAGGCACATGTGGAGAAAACAAATAGCCTTATTTATACTGTGAGAGATGCATCAAACTGACAAGCAGCACACACTCAGACCTGGTTGGGCTTCATGGTGGCCATGTTGTAGGGCTCCATCAGAATCTGTAACATGTCAACACACCCATGTTCTGCTGCCAGTGCAAAGGGCCGATGTCCTGACTGAAACACAGGGAAATTCATTAATTCAACCTTGATTTAAATGGTAAACGGACTGTACTTATATAGCACCTTTTCTTTCTATCTTATTTCAAGACACTCAAAGTGCTTTACAACACAATCTGTGTCCTCATTTACCCATTTATACAGCACTCTACTAGATCTGTACAAAGCTAATTGAACAAATCATTCTAATGAGACTAATCAGTGCTTTAGATCACATTCATACAGTGATGGGACACACATAAGAGGCTATGGGGGGGTTCAGTGTCTTGCCCAGGGACACTTCAGCATGTGACTGCTGGTGGATTCGAACTCCCAACTCTCGCATTGGAGGACAACTGCTCTAACCACTCAGCCACAGCTGCCCCCAGAGACAGATTAATCCCATTGAGCCTCGAGGACTCATTTACAAGAGAGACCTGACTTCTTAACAAAGAGTGATGACAGCAATGGATAACAATGACAACAATAGACAGTCATAAAATATGCATACAAATTTAAGTATCTCTTTTTTTTTTTTTTTTACTAATCGAAACAAAATAGCAACCATAAGAACAATCAAAAGGAATAGCAGCAAAAAACAATTAGATCACAAGGCAATTTAGAAAACTAAACATAGGAACATGCCTGCATTGGCTTTTGCCAGGTACTTAACAGGGTTTAAAGTCACTTTTAGAGGTCAGTGTCGAGAGCTTTAGATCTTTTTGCAACATATTCCAGAAAACAAGGGCAGTGTAGGAGAAGGCCCTTTTGCCTAGTTCAGTCCACACTGAGGGAACACTGCATGTAATAATGTCCTGAGAGTGCACGCTGTAGCTGCACTCACGCAGTGACATGTAGGAGGAGATGTATGAAGGCAGCAGACCAAGAAGTGATTTAAAGATGAAAATGTACCAGTGAGAGAGTCTGTGTGAAGTTAGTGATGTCCAGTTAACCAGTGAATACAGGGTGCAATGATGGGTATGGTAGTTACAGCCAGTTATGAATCTTAATGCACCGTGATAGACAGCATCCAACATCTGCAGGGTGCTTGTAGGAGCATTCATATAAATAGTGTCACTGTAGTTGATGGAAGGAAATTCACAGATACAAGGCATTTCCTAGCATTCAGAGTTAGACAGGATCTATTTCTGAAAAAGAAACTCAGTTTAACTTTCAGTTTCCTTACTAGGTTTTCCACATGAAGCTTAAAAGAGAGATGCAAGTCGATCAAGATACCCAAATATTTATAGGAATTGACAAAAACAATAGGGACACCATTTGAGGGTGAGATCAGAGGAAGAACTGCTGGGACAGACTTCCTGTTTGACAAAAGCATCCCTTTGGTTTTATCGGCATTTACGACAAGTTTGAGGTGGAACAAATCTGCCTGGATGATGTCGAAGGCAGATTGCAAAAGCTGGAGAGCCTTAGCAACTGTTTTAGCTCAACAATAAACAACTGTGTCATCAGCATAGAAATGTAAGAATGCATCAGGGATGCTCTGACCTACATTACATATGTAGATTGTAAAGAGGGTGGGACCTAAGACTGAGCCTTGTGGTACACCATTACTGACTGTTAGACAGCTAGAGGAAATACCATTATGTTGAACACATTGCCTCCGATCTGATAGTTAGAGAACCAACCAATGGTACGATCTGAGAAACCAATTTCTGATAGCTTATGACACAAGATATCATGATCCACAGTGTCAAAAGCTTTAGACGTCTAAGAAATCAGTCATGCATTCATTCGCAGTGAATGTCCTGTAGTTCAGTCGGATGTAAATATGTTGTTTAAATCTTTTCCAGACACATACCTGATCATCTCTGTCTAACTCTTTCATCTGCAGATCATTTATTATATACTCTATGATTCCTGTGTGGTTGTTGATGGCAGCGCAGTGCATAATGTTCAGTCCTTCCTGAGGGAGACAAACATTTCCGTCAAATTGGACATGAGGGTTTCAACATGAGGGTTTTAACATGAGGGTTTCAATTCATTCATTCATTCAACCTTTATTTATCCAGGTTAATCCCATTGAGCCTCGGGGACTCATTTACAAGAGAGACCTGAATTTTAACAAAGAGTGATGACAACAGTAGACAACAACGACAACAGTAGACAACCATAAAGGATGCGTACAAATTTAATTTGATATTTTTAAACAAGTGAAAATAAAATGGTAATTAAAAGAATAATTAAAAGGAAAGTAGCAACAAAAAACAGAAGCTAGATTTTAAGGTGGTGCAGAATACTAAAAACAGGAACATGTCTGCATTTTTTGCCAAGCACTTAACAAATGCTTAAAGCCACTTAGAGGTGAAGATGAGCACATAATTAGATGAGCACATAAATGTTACCCATCTTAAAATAACAAAATTAATACATTTAAAGCTTAAAAGAAAAGATAAATGAGTGCATATCTTGGTTACGCATCATCGTACCTTACCTCGTTTTCAACCTTCTGTTCGGCTCCAGCCTGCACCAGTAATTTCAGGATCTCCAAACTCCCAAACCATGCAGCCAGATGAATAGGGGCCACCCCATACTGTCAGAAACAACACATAAAAAGGTCTTCTAATATTTGACTTGGGCCATTATTCATGCCATAGTCTATTCAAACCATCTCACCTTGTCCTTTTGATCCACTTTGACCCTGCGCTGTAGAAGAAACTGAACAGCTTCATTGTTTTTGCCGGCTACAGCAAAGTGAAGGGCTGTCCTGTGATGCTGTGGTGAAAGTCATCATATTATTACTTCAATATGTATTTACAATCTTAATGTTTTTCTGCTTCCATATGGATCAAAAGAGCAGCCAGGTGCTTCTACTCATGTGATATTAAAATGTAAAAGTTTTATTAAGCCCACCAAATTCCTGGCATTGATGTTAAGACTTTTTCCAAGATACTTCATGGTCTCTACGTCATTCTTCTTTGCTGCTTCCATAAACTGCTTCTCTGTCTCGAGTACTGGATCAACACAGAAAAGATTTTACACAATACTTTAAATGAAAACGGTCACACAGCCAAATACAGAACCCATCGAAATCCAAACCTAAACAATGTCTTACTGAAAAGATTGTTTCTCTGATTCACTCATTCTCTGTAAAACAAACATAATCTAAACCCAATTTTATTTTAAGCTTTTGTTTTTTTATGACACAGTAAATGACCTATGCTATGACTTAAAATCAGCTAAATGCAGCCTCTGATCAAGAATGGGTTCGCCAAACCTATCTGTCGTCATTATCTGCATCATTTTTTTTATTACTTTATTCTGATTTACTTCATTTTGTATTTTGCTTTGTGTGTTGCCTGTTGTTCTGTCTGTACAGCACTTTGGTTGGCCGTGTTGCTGTTTTAAGTGCTCTATAAATAAAATGGTATGGTATCTAAACCAGGGGTCTGCAAACTGCAGCTCTGAAGCCTCATGTGGCTCTTTGGTCCTTCTGCAGCAACTTTTTCTTTTGTGATGGACCTGGATATGGGCACCAGTGACCCCCAGCAACCCGAAAAGGAAGAAGCGAGTGAACATATGGATGGATGGATGGAATCCAGTCTTTTCTTTTATCTCAAAATGTAAAAATATTAATAAATGTCAACAATCATCAGATGTTTTTAGTTTTATAATTTCATGCCTACTGGCCAAAAAAGCCCCCTCTAAAGTGGTCTATGGGCCACCAGTTGATAATGACAATTGTAGCAGGGTTTGCGGCTCTGGACACGTTTAATTTAGTGAACGAAGGGGCAGAAATGGCTCTTTTGATCGTAAAGATTGCAGACGCCTGATCTAAACTATCATTTGGATAAACGATATATAATATGGAGATATTTGAGCAGAATGGAAAAAAGAATGTTCATTAAAAAAATCAGTGCTATAGTACATCAGCCTAAACATTTATTGTGTCAAGCTCAGTTACCAGGAGCTGAGGGTTTGTTTTGCAGACAAATAAGGCGCCTTCGTTGACTTCATGAAAAGCTCCATCTCACCGAAGGACGACTATTGCAGCGTAAATGGATCAAAGACGAGCCTTGCTCTCAAATAATAGGATAACATTGTTCAGATGTCTTCATTCCGTCACTGTCGTCTCCTCTCCCCTGCAGAACGTCTGCATCGCTATCTTATGTGCAGGGTGTTTTTTTTTTTTTTTTCAATCTCAGGCTATCTTTCCTCGGCCAAGGAATAAGAGTCTGTTAGGAATTTTTTTTGCCTCCAAATCCTATACATGTTGTCACTTTGATTACTTTTTGTCTGTCTAAACAGGTCTCACTTGTAAAAGAGTCTTTGAGGCTCATTGCGATGTATCTGTATAAATAAAGGTTGAATGAATGAATAAAATTTCCTGTTGTGTAAAGCTGTTGTCGCATACTCACACATTTCTTTGGTGTCATAGCTGCTGTCAGCCTCTTGCTCTGAGTATTTGTTGAGTATAAAGTCAGCAAACCCCCTGACAGTCTCCTTTTGCATCCACTTCTGGGGGTCCAGATTCTCCTTCTTCTCCTTGATCATTGTCCTCCAAGCCACGACACTTCTTTCCATCAGGACATTCCTTAAATGACTTCTTGGGAAAATAATTGCCACCAGGTTTTCCACAGACAGCAGGATTTGAGGTGGAAGCGATCAGTTTCAATCCATGTTTACTTTACCAGCTCACACCCTGACAAAGCTCTGCTGATAGCCGAAGAGTATATTTACCCGTGTGTACGAATGGAAGGTGGGACGGCTACAGATTCAATAATTTTGTTGACCTTATGATCACAAAGGAAGATTTATAAAGACAAACATAATGTACTGGTAGTAGTTTAACTTGTTTGCAGATGAAAGTTAGCACGGCATGTCTTGTTTTTTAGCTCCAAGTAAAAGCTTCAGACAAAAATTCAGTCCAAAACTTGTTTTTAAACCAGCTGAATCAAACTGGACTTTGCTTAAAGTTTAGACGGATTAAAAACAAACAGATACTGATTTTCTTAACGACACAAAAGTGGGAATTCAGGCAGAACATTTATTATATATATATATATATATATATATATCTTCATAATCAGTATAAACAAAACTGTTAATAAATGATTGAAAATAACTTAATAATGTATAAAATTTTAACTTGCAATACCAAAACAGGTTTAAATATCATCATGGTCACATCAGAATTCATAAAAAAGTAACAGCCTCATTAAGTTAAAAATGTATAATGTGGAATAACATGAAACTGAGACATTATCTTGTTGTGTATGGCTTAAAAAATAAGTTCATTAGTGCACATGCTTAGCTTCTGATGGCAGCAGCAGATTTTTTGATGATTTGTGTGCGATGGTTGTAAAGTTTATAACATAAAGAAGAAAATGAAACATTGAATGAAACTATGAAACTGGAGGAGCTGTCACTTCTCACTGCAGAAAACTTTCCAGAGCAGGCAGATATTCCTCGTGGGTTACCATCACCTGAAGAACTTGTCGATGGTATTGTGAGGACCCGTGCTTTTAGCTTTTTTAGACGGAGGAGAGGAAGGCGTGTCTCGTCTAAAACAAGAAGGAAACAAAAGCTTTTAAAGAAATATTTATTGTTGTTAATGCATTTAAGTTTACTGGCTCCCTGTCAAGTTCAGAATTAAATTCAAAATCTTACTTCTAACCTACAAAGCTCTCAACAACCTAGCTCCATCTTACAAACCGGATTCCAAAAAAGTTGGGACACTAAACAAATTGTGAATAAAAACTGAATGCAATGATGTGGAGATGGCAAATGTCAATATTTTATTCGTAAAATAAAGTAGATGACAGATCAAAAGTTTAATCTGAATAAATGTAACATTTTAAAGGAAAAATATGTTGATTCAAAATTTCAGTGTCAACAAATCCCAAAAAAGTTGGGACAAGTAGCAATAAGTGGCTGGAAAAAGGAAATTGAGCATATAAACGAACAGCTGGAAGACCAATTAACACTAATTAGGTCAATTGACAACATGATTGGGTATAAAAAGAGCTTCTCAGAGTGTCAGTGTCTCTCAGAAGCTAAGATGGTAAGAGGATCACCAATTCCACCATTGTTGCGCAGAAAGATAGTGCAGCAATACCAGAATGGTGTTACCCAGCGTAAAATAGCAAAGACTTTTAAGTTATCATCATCAACCGTGCATAACATTATCAAAAGATTCAGAGAATCTGGAGCAATCGCTATGCGTAAGGGTCAAGGCCGTAAAACTCTACTGGATGCTCGTAATCTCCGGGCCCTTAAATGCCACTGTCAAGGAAATAACAGAATGGGCTCAGGAATACTTCCAGAAAGCAATGTCAGTGAACACAATCCACCGTGCCATCCGCCGTTGCCAGCTGAAACTCTACAGTGCAAAGAGGAAGCCATTTCTAAGCAAGCTCCACAAGCTCAGACGTTTGCACTGGGCCAGGGGTAATTTAAAATGGAGTGTGGCAAAATGGAAGACTGTGGTCAGATGAGTCATGATTTGAAGTTCTTTATGGAACACTGGGACGCCATGTCATCCGGACCAGAGAGGACAAGGATAGCCCAAGTTGTTATCAACACTCCATTCAGAAGCCTGCATCACTAATGGTATGGGGTTGCATGAGCGCTTGTGGCATGGGCAGCTTGCATATCTGGAAAGGCACCATTAATGCAGAGAACTATGTTCAGGTTCTAGAACAACATATGTTCCCATCTAGACGTCATCTCTTTCAGGGAAGACCCTGCATTTTTCAACACAATAATGCCAGACCACATTCTGCAGCAATCACAACATCATGGCTACGTAGGAGAAGGATCCGGGTACTGAAATGGCCAGCCTGCAGTCCAGATCTTTCACCTATAGAGAACATTTGGCGCATCATAAAGAGGAAGGTGCAACAAAGAAGGCTCAAGACAATTGAACAGTTAGAGGCCTGTATTAGACATGAATGGGAGAGCATTCCTATTTCTAAACTTGAGAAACTGGTCTCCTCTGTCCCCAGACGTCTGTTGAGTGTTGTAAGAAGAAGGGGTGATGCCACACAGTGGAAAAATGGACTTGTCTCAACTTTTTGGGGATTTGTTGATGCCGTGAAATTTGGAAACAACCGATTTTTCCCTTAAAATGATACATTCTCTCAGTTTAAACTTCTGATCTGTGATTTGTGTTCTATTCTGAATAAAATATTAGATGTTGCCACCTCCACATCATTGCATTCAGTTTTTATTCACAATTTGTTTAGTGTCCCAACTTTTTTGGAATCCGGTTTGTATATTACAGATCTTGTTCCATATTTTCCTAACAGAGCACTTAACTCTCAGACTGCAGGCTTACTTGTGGTTCCTAGAGTTTCCAAAAGCAGAATGGGAGGAAGATCTTTAATTTATCAGGCTCCTCTCTTTGGAACCAATTTCCAGTTTCTGTCCATGAGGCTGACACATTGTCCAGTTTAAAGACTGGACTTGACTTTAATTTTGATAAATCCTATAATTAGGGTTGACTTGTTATGCTGCTACAGACTAGAAGACAAACGGACCTCCTTTCTTTAAATGAATTGTTAAAATTGAATATTTTCATTTGATAATATTTCTATCTTAACATGTGATTCTTGACCTGCCATTGTGTATCTGTTCCTCTCAAACCCAGCCGGTTGAAGCAGATGGCCGCTTGTCCTGAGCCTGGTTCTGCTAAAGGTTTCTTCCTCATGAGGGTTTTTCCTTTCCATTATCACCTTCATGCTTGCTCAAGATGAGAGTCTGTGATGGAGTTAAATTTAAAGCAGTCTGCGCCTCAGATAAATAATGTTAAATTATTATTTTTATATATGAATGTTTCTCTTCAGTGCTCTGAGATAACTTCTGTTGTGAATTGGCGCTCTATAATAAACTGAACTGAATTGAAAGGTTCAAGGAGACTTTATTGTCATGTGCATAACATGTGGTACATGAGGTGAAACAAAATTATGTACTCCAGGTCCCAGTTATACCCAAACATAGCAAAACATTAAAGTATAGAAGGCAAACAGTATACAAGGATCTAAGATATATGCTAAAAAATAATAATGTAATAATTTAAAATGATTTAACTACAATAGCTAAATAAATAAATATGTAACATTTACAAAAGTGTTATTTCACCTTTTGTTTTTGCCTTTGCTTGCTTGTCTTGGCAGTTGAAGTCCGCTGTCTACAAAGAAAAACAAGCGATGAAACAAACAAGAAATAAATTAACTCTTTCTAATCTATTTTCTGTCCAAATAAAATGACACAGATGTAGCATCACCTCGGCACCATAAAGACTGCAATTCCACAAACTGGCTAGTTAGAAAAAAAGCAGGTTTCAATTCATTGTAAAAAAGGTGAGGAAGTGATTTAGTCATTTCCAGAACCGGGGGGGGGGGCACAGGGAGCCCCGAGGGGTGAAATGAGATTCTTTTCTCTGTGCCAATCAATACAACCCTCTCATGCAATGTCCCTGTCAGTAAATAACAGGGTCAAAGGTCACAGGCAACCCTTGAAACAGACAATGATTCTGTTCATCACAGTTTATGGACATTTTTAACAGTCTTGCATCTCTCCCCAGCAGAGGGTGCATCGTCTGGCTGAAGATCTATGAAGGAACAAATGGCTTAGCTGCACAAAAAAATAGTTGAGTCGTCACCTTCCTACCTGCTCTGAGCATGTCACAAAGTATAAAAAATATTATTCAGGGGTTGGCCGACACCAAAACAGAATCCCAAATGGTTTTGTGTGAAGGCTGATTCAGCATCTACACTTTCTTTATTTTATTTATTTTTTTACTGTTTAACTACTTCTGCATTCTTTGTGTTATTGTAGCCATTCATACATGAACACATTCAGCTGGAGGTGTTGTGACTTTTGTTTACAATAACTTTTGTACTTTAAAAATATTTAATTGGATTCACATTTTCCCCATAGAAATACAGAGATCACTTCATGATCTAAAACAAATTAAATCTGCTTCAGCATATTTGAACCATTTTGTCTTCTTTTGCTACTTTTAATTTATAGCTACTATTCTGCTACCTTTAGTTTTAGACACACTTTGCAGCGTTTAGATATCCATTTGATACTTTGAGCTTCTAACAACCTCTTGTTACATTTAGCTTTCAGCTAGTGGTTGGCTCCTTTTAGGTAGCATTTAGCAACTTTTTGCTCTTGTTCTGCTCCTTTTAGCTTTTAGCTAGTGTTCTGCCTGTTATTTTTAATTCAGCTTCTTCAGCAAACTCATTCAGCTCACAGTGGTCACACTGCATATTCATAGAAAATGCAATTTCTTAATTATTTTTTTTAGTCTAGTGCATTGAGAGCAAGTCTTTATTGCATGTCTCTATAAATGACCAGTAAAGCTGAAGCTGATGTAAAGTGAATAAAAGTGCACTCACTCACCTTTGACCTGGCTATTTTTAACTGCTGATGGTTTTCTGGTAAATGTCGTCCGTCCTCCGAGCTCATGCAGGACCTCTTGGTTCAGGCAGAGGTCAACGTGTCGATTGAAGACGGTGAGGTCATCTGTGTGTTGGGTCACCTGACATACCGGGCAAACAAGGACGGGACTTTTACCACGACATGACTGGTGTTCCTGCAAAGTACCGGGTTTGTTGTCACCCTCAATCAGCAGAACCTTTTGAACTGAATCGTCCTTTAAACCGTGTTGGCCTTCCTGAAGACAAATTTTGCTCGACTCCAGCTCTTCATCGTTTACTGACTGCTCCTTTTTAACTCTGGGAGCTCCATTTTGTGTGTGCTCCACTTTATTTTTCTGATTCTCTGGGTTTAACTCTGCTGCTGAGTCTTTGCTTGGCTTTCCAGCATCATCATCATCAAGACAGCGGTCTATATGGCTGTTGAAGTTGTTCAAATCAGTCGTTTTGACATGTCTGAAACACACTGGGCACACGAGGGATTGTGTTTGTGTCTCACAGTCTGATGTGGATGGATGAGCCAGAACAGAGATATATTCATTTTCAGAAAGGTCTGAAACTACACTGTTGTTCTTGTTTGATTGAGATGACAACTTTATATCCTCTTTAGAATCACTTCTTACAGAGTTCATCTTAGAAATGTCTTCACATGCTTCAGATTGTGTGTTTGAATTAGCCGCCAGGAGCTGCAGTCTTTTGGCATGAGCTCTTTGAAAGAAAGACTGTTGAGGTTTCTCATCAGTTTGCCTTTTGTCCGACTGTCTCTGCTCACTTTGACAAGCTTCTTGACTGTGGTCATTCTGCACTACTAGATACGCCAAAGGCTGTGGTGTTTGGATTGGGTGCTCAGAGAGATGCTCTTTTTCAAGGTTTCGATGCATTATTTGGGAAGAGTGACTGCAGTCGGTCTTGCCTGACTGAAGAAAGCCAATGATGCTTCTCTGCATGGGTGTCTTGTCATCTACACTGACAAAGGCAGATATTCGAACACCTAAAAGCACAAAAAGAGAAAAAAATTAAAAATGACACACAACTTATTGCAACTGATTTAGATTTCATGTTTTCCTGTTTTTTTTCTGTAAGATTTTTGTAGTTGAACTACCTCTGCATACTTTGTGCTATTTTAACCATTCCAATAAAGTAGGCCCTCGCTACTTCACAGTTCGTTTTTCACACTCGCTCTATCACGTTTTCTCAAAGTAAGATTGGACATGACACACAATGGCTGATTGATGGATGAGACACACGATCGGCATGGATTTTTTGTTTAAAAATAAAATTATTTTAAATGATTTAGCACCTGTGTGCAGCCCACAGCTGCGGATCCCCCGAGATAACTGAGGGACGATTGTATCAAAAAGTTCAGCTCCTTCCTGAGATAAACACTATGACTTAAGGTTTCTATAACTTTAAAACAATTCAAAATAGTTAACCTTGTTTATAAACATTTTCCCCATAGAAACCAATGAGTACTCTTCCATTCCTTTAAAAATATAATTCTTATTTTAGTCTTTTTTTTATGCTTTTAGCTGCGTTCAGCAACTTTTAGCTTTTAGCATGCCTTATATTACTTTTATCATCTAGCCAGCCTTATACTACTTTTAAGCTAGTGCTATTCTACTTTTAACTAGCCTTTTGTTACTTTAGCTTTTAGCTAACCTTTTGCTGATTCTAGCGATTGTTTTGCTATTTTTAGCATTTAGCAAACCTTTTGCTACATCTAGCTTTGAGTCAGTGTTTGGTTACTTTTAGCTAACATATTACTTCTAGTTTCTGACTAGCTTTATGTTATCGTTGTCTTTTGGCAAAAACTTTGGGATTTTTCAGCCTTTTAACTAGTGTTTAGCTTCTTTTAGATTTAACAACTCAATTTCAGGTTTTACAAAGTCATTCACATTGCATTTATGCAGGAAATGCAATTTCTCTAGCTGTTATTGCTCGATTATAATGGATTTGCCATATATATTTGTTAAATGTGATTACCCATAAGCCTCAGTCTCAGTGGTTGGGGGCTTTCATTTTCTATTTCCATTTGCAGTAAGTCCTTAGCGACAGCAAAGATGTCCTCCACTGCAGCAACAGCATATGGGAGCGTCTGTGCCCTGGTTTTCACCTCAAAGTTGATGTTTTTGATCTTCAGAGTAACAGTTTTACCCTTAATAAAAAATAAAAATAAAACCATGAAACATTTGAAGCCATTTCTGTCTACATTTCAGCTAATAAATGTTGAAATAATCAAAACCGCTGTTCAAAAGGACTGAAAACAAAAAAAATGGAAACCTGTGTAACCTCTCATATCAGATCTGATCTATCAAAGTGCATTTCATGAGTTTTCATAGTAATGTGATCATCTCCCAGGGGAAACACTTTGGAAGCTAATAGTGGCCCCTGCTGTCTCTTTAATGGCCCTCTATTTCATGTTGCTATTAAGGGACTAAGGCAGGGGGGCCAAGCTATCTGGGTCACCCTCCATCGATTCAGAAAGAAATGGACAGGTTGATGTAATTGTACAAGATTCAGTCTGGAGTCAAGGTGATGCTTGAAAGGCCACAAATAAGATGGCACTCTTTCTTATGACCAAAAAAGTTTTTTTATTATTTCCATTTCCGTTCAAGTATCTAAGAAATACATCTATATGTGCTAGGAGCTAGGACTTACTTACATTCTTATAGCAGCTATAGATTTACAAAACACAAAGTTAAGTTAAAAAAGCCAAAAAGCCAAAGTCCTCTTTAACCTTCTACGATATCTTTACGTTGAATAAAGTTAAGTAGTTTTCATTTGGTACCTTTAGCCCCTCGTTTTTCATGTCCTTTGCCAGATCTTCACAGAGCTCTCTGCACAAGAGCAACTGCTCCTCAGGTTTACTTAGTTCTTTAAATGTTCTATCAGCATGAATCAGAAATGAGGAAAAATAAACAGGATAAATATAACAGAAAGGGAACAGTGTTGATGGCCGTCTTAATAAAACATACCTCTCGGTGCTCATGCTTTTTCTTTCTTCATGTCTGAATAAAAGCAAAAACACAGAAAATATTTTCCACTATTTTTTTAGTTGGACTGTATTTCCAATCAGTTGCTTTAAATATTATAACAAAGCAAAATACCTCGGTATAAATGTGGAGCCTAGACCCAGAGCAATCTGCATAAAATGATGCCATGCGGTCTCCGAGAACAACAATGACAACAAGGACATCTGCTGGCCAAGATGTGCGCACGTGGTGATGCCCAGAGAGTTCAGCATTTTTTCACTCACCTTCCCGATGCCACAAACCTGAAGGAATACAGAAAATACCTTTTTACAGTGCATATCCACTGATACCCAGACGTTTTTCTAACATCTCTACACATCACACTACCTGTCTGCCATATGTAAAAAAAAAAAAAAAAAAGCAGAACACTGCTACAACTAAAAACTGTAAGCTGAAAAGAGCTTCTGAATTAAAGAGCTAAAAAAACAGGTTCTTCGAGCTAAAGGCTTGCAACTAATACATGCTGCCTCCAATTCTGATGAGAATACTGTCAAATTATAACCAAAAAAACAATCATAGCAAGTTAAATTTAAGAAAACCATAATGCTTTTCTGTGCACTATATCTGCGTCAAAATCATTTTAAACCTAGCAATGATTTCAGTTTTAAACATAAAAAAAGAAGATATAAACAAATATACTGCATCTGATACTAAAAATAATTTCTAACACAAGCCGTCAGCTGAAACTGACATGATGCAATCAGCTAATGATGTCGCCAAGCACAACGTCCAGCAGTGGTGCAAGTCTTACAGCCCCACACTGACTGCACAGTTACACAGTGAGCATCCCTTATTACATCAGGAATCTTCATGTAAGAACAGCCTGCACTAGGGCAGCAGCAAAGTGACTTTTTGTTATCAGGTCATAATAGTAGTTAGTTTACGCCATCATGATCCTGATGGGAGTGTCCTGAATGACCCGTTCATGCAGCCATGCGCTCACACGTGAAACTTTAGATATATGAGAGTGAATCCTTTGCACTAAAACAAGCACTTAGTTTGTTTGTTATATTTTCATTTAGGTGATTTATATATATTTTTAACTGTACTTTGCGAACAGGAAGCTCTTGGATGAAGTCCATAACGGCCTCTCTGGTGGGCGGGAGTCTGTACTGTCCGTTGGGCTTGTTCTTATCACTGCACACCTTGGCAAGCATCGTGTTTGGAGCAATTCCTAGAAGGTTGACAAATGAGAAGCAACAAGAAAAACTTGATGTTAATCATAATGATTTATAACAATATTGTTGCTTGCCAGGTTTGCAAATGCAAAGTTACTTAGATTGATGTCTATTGAAATCTATATATTTTAGCAAGAACTGTATTCAGAATACAAGGGTCTTTAGAATATTATAGATATATATGTGAATATAATAAAGATTTTAAAAGATAGTGTCCGATTAGGAACATCCCAAAGTTTTCCCTCACCTGCACTGGCAGTCAGCATGGTCTTCTGTTCAATGCGAAAGCGCATCTCTCTCACAGCCTCCTCCACAGATGTCCCAAACACCTCAAATTTATCACCAGCACCCTCAGAGCCAGACAGGCAGGGAGTGGAGGCAGGACTGTCATCAAACAGGACTGGAGAGAAGTCTGTCACCTCTGCCTCCTCATGAGGTTGACTCTGCTTTTCATCTTTACAGAAAATAGTTTGCACAATGATCAGATAGAATCCTGACAAACAGAACAAATTCAACACATAATATTTTGCCTCAATATTTTTATGCCATTAGGCTGTACCTGTGGCAATGCACTGGGAGAAGTGGTGTGTCCGTGAAGACTCTGGCCAACTCTGCCTCTGCTCCAGGTGGTCTGTAAAATCTAAATAGGCCTCATCCAGGCTCATCGGCTGGAAGTGTGGATCGTAATCTGCAAAAATCTCCCGAATCTGAAAGATGCATTTTGTGAGCACCTCTTACAAGATATAAAAAGTATAGTGTGACATTCGTTTGCATCTATATGGGTTTTGACCTTACCTCATCACTCACAGCTCGATATTTATCAAAATTAGGAGGAACAATAACCAAGTTGGGACAGAGCTTCTTTGCAATGAAGCCGGGCATGGCAGCTCGAACCCCATACTTCCTGGCATGATAATTTGATGTAGACTAAAAATGAAAAATGAGGAACATTTGCTTTAAAATCATACAGATAGGGTTTTAAAAGACCATGAATTGTATAAACACAATTTTGAATGTAAAATAATTTCAGTTTAATTGTACACATCATGTCATATAAAGGCAATACAATTTTAGTGTTCAATTTTGTTTGGAGGAAAAAAACAAAGTTTTGAGATTTAAATTGAAATATTAGTATTTGGTATTAAAAGTATTATTAATTAAGACTAATCTACGCAATGTGACATATAATCCTGCGCAGACACCTAGAAGGTTCTCTGACACAACTAAATAAGAGCTGTCTAACCCAATATGTAGTATTTATCTGTTGCATGTCTGTTTCTTAAATATCTTAACCCACCAGCATGCTTGTGGATCCTACTGCCATCGGCTTGTCCTTCAATTCAGGACAGTCTCTCATCTCCACGGCTGCGTAGAAAGCATCCATGTCCACGTGCACAATCACTCTGCTTAGATCCCGACTCTTCTCCAGTTTCGAGACCATCTTTTCCACCTACGCACAGAAATTTTTCATAAGCATTTAATAGCTGGTCCCATTTATGTAACCTCTGATTAGCAAGTCATGCCAGCTTGAATCCGACATGTTTATAAAAGTTTAACCTGAGCTTGAGCTTTATTTAACTGCTGTTCTGTGAGCTGAGCCTTTTGGAGCATCATTTTCTCAATGCGCTGGTTCACCTGCTGCTCCCTTTTCATCTCATTCTCATAAAACCTGGAGCCCTGCAAGATATGGGTAAGGATACATATTCTATTATACAAGAGATAGTACACTCAAAGTAAATGTTATAGCTCTTATTGTTTATATTTATTATTTTCTATACAACATTTGATAATGATTAAGTTCATATCATCTCAGGTGGTAGTTAGCAGTATGTGAATGTATGCTGGTTTAGTTATGTCTTTTGGAGTTGTGTAAGTCTCTACCTTGGACGATTCCATGATGATTTTGTTGATCTTGTCTCTGTCCAGACCCTCCATGCCAGCCTTGTTGTCATTGAGCGCCATTCGGGAGAGAAAGCTCTCCTCTTTGGCGGATGTAACCTCCATCCTGTAGTTTTGTGACTCACAGTTTGCCTTAAGATATCCTGAGTCTATCCTCCATATTGTTCGTTTCCTTTTGGACCAAAAACCCCACAGAATACGTAAAAACTCGGCTGTGTAACGTTCACGTCCCTACGTTTTGAAAAACCGGCACTTCCGCATACGTCACAATCGAGGAAGGCGGAAATTAAATGACAAAATATATTTGTCTACTACGTTTCACTTAACGCTAGAGGGCTTCGTAACATTCCTAAACGTAAAGCTTTGCTCCTTTTTGCAAAACAGTTTAAAATCAAATCTTCTTTTTGTTCAAGAAACCCTTGATAAATATCTAAACTTTCTGGATTTTTGCACTTTAAACAATACATTTAAGATTAATTGATTTAAGTATTTACCAAAAATATCCCAACTCCATCTGATGATACCTGATGAAGTGATATGATATCTAAACTAGGTGGTTTAAACTTTTTTTTTCTTAATGTACAACTATATATCTGCATTTCATCATCAGGCCTTTTTGTCATGGACTCTCATCTATAAACACAACTTTTGTCCTGACAGGTATCTTATAAGGAACAACAAGGACATTTTACACAGACAAAAATCCCTTTTAATAGAATATTGGTTTCACATTATACATGTACTTATACATGTAGCTCAGTTATTTAATGAAGATGGTACTCTTATCAAGAGTTTCCATCAGAATCTAATCTTCCTGTCCCTCATGGACATTATGCTAAAGTTTTTGTGGTCATATAATCTAGAATTTGTAAATTGTTCTGGTCACGTCCTAATCCAAATCCTCAACCCTCGTGTTTATTATCACCTACAGATACAGCTGCAGGCAAAATATGATTCTCTAACAATTCCAGAAATAACAAATCGATTAGAGCCTTATTTTTAAAGTACATTGTAATGATTCCTTATGTTGTTTTATACTGGGGAAAGTACACAACATCAATTGGAAGAAGGTCTGGCTCCTGTCAAATCTATATTTATTAACTAAAAAAGTTAATTAAATTTTATTTAATTAATTCATAACATTTATCCTGCTGTAGTCTATATTCAAAAGGTTTTAAAAAGAATACTGATGTTAACTACAACATTTGATGTGATGATCTTTAAACATCTGCACTGGCATGGTCTCTTTGTTCAATCCTCCTGGTGTCAAATTTGATGCCAAACTTGAATCAAAACGGCTGAAGATTTTCTTTTATTTTGGAAGAATGCTCTGTTTGGCCTTACAGAAAACTGTACAGATCTACAAAAGAAGCCAGATAAGATATATATAATCATCTGATTATTATTATTATGGCCAAGTTTTATATGGTGTATATTATTGTAAATTTAGAGGTACTAAATCATGCATCACTGCTTTGCATCAGGTTCAACTTCTTTATGTAGTCTATTACCCCCTAACCTTTAAACAGACAAATTATATAACATTCACTTTTATGTGAATTCACTTTTAGATAATACTAAATATAAATAGTATTTAGGTATCATATTTTTTACACAAGTCTAGAAAAAAAAACAAGATAAAAATGATTTATCTTTATCCAAGAGTTTTGTCATGTCCCTCTGAAGTTCAAGAGAATAATCTTGCGACCTGCAGTACTGATTTGCTTTCTCTGATACCATGTGTGGACTTCATGAACTTTAGACGTGCGTTGTCAGTGAGATTGGAGTACTCAGAATAATCTGACACACAACAGAAAAACAAACAAGAAACTGATATACTATTAAGTTTAATATTCTCTATTGTCTATTAATGCAGAATATTCATTCAACCTTGATTTGTACAGTTGGCCCCAAGGTGCAAAAGACAGCAGTATATAACTCTAACCCCAGTCATTCAAGGTTGTAAAAGAAGAAAAGTAAGTTTTACAAACAACAACCCTGTAAGATAAATTAAAAAAACATCAAAAGCAGTACTGTATATTTACATGTATATTAAAAGAAACATCTAACAGAAAAACATTTAGAAAAGTGCGCAATAACCTAAAACTTTTGTTTCCGGTTTGTCCCTTCAGTATAAAAATGGCCTAATATGCACGTGCAAGTGACACATTTACTATTATTTTGAAAACATGTTTTATTAAATAATTTCTTTATTTTTTTTAATTAATTGCATATAAATGATCTTTTATGGCGTGTGTGCTGGTATGCGACGTCTGTTTTTCTTTTACATTTCATATTTTTGTTGGATATAACTGGGACCCTGTGTACACAATTTCGTTCCACCTCATGTACCGCATGTGATGCGAATGACAACAGAGAACCTTGAATCCTTGAATTTTAATTGAATCTTTGAATAATTATTTAAAACGCAAACGCTTTTATTGTTTATGAACATTCTATAGTTTCCGGTTTAACTGTACAACTTGACGTATTTTTACGCAGCAGGTACACAGTAAAGCGTGGCTGCGGCTCCTCCCCCTACAAGCTTTTCTGCTCACTTCGCCACAGCTAACTCAGCAACCGAACCCAGCAGAGGCTATGTCCGTGGCTCTTTACTAGTAGGTTTAGTTGAACAGTTTTGAGATTTGACGCGAACGTTTTATTTTTAAGGACTTATTAACTGCATTTTAGGTTGCTAAGGCAAATGGAACCAACTCGCTAGGCGAAGTTACTGTTAGCTAGTTGCGTCGTTTGCCAGCTAACTAAGTTAGCTAGGCTTATTGGTATTCGACGTTTCAAAACAAAGCCCGCTGTCACCGCCAAAGTAACTTGTTACAAGATAAGCGTGCTTTTTCTGACTACCGAGGGTACACAGCGCAATTTCCAGCTTCTGCTTGGCTCCTCAATTAAATTAACGTAACGTCGCCCACAGATTAGATTGATTTGGAGAAGTCTGTCAGCAGGTTCTGGGCTGTGTGACGTTATATTGATTGAACGAATCGAGCTTCTAACCTTGAGGTGCGTGATTTTAGGCTTTCCTGAAACCTGAAATTCAATGTCCGAAAAGAGCTCGTCGTCCGGTTCGGATGAGGATGTGGACCCTGAGTCCGGACAGCCCGTGGAGCTCGGAGGCGTCTTAAGCAAAGTAAGTTTTGGTGCTGAGTTATGCGTCTGAGGGACACCACCAGGGTGTGGAAATTACCATCCAGCTGCATCTGTTGGATTCATTTTATCATGGTCTGTTGATTGACTTTATTGTGTACTCGTATTGTGTGTTTTCAGTGGACGAACTACATACACGGGTGGCAGGACCGGTGGGTTGTGTTGAAAAACAACACGCTGAGTTACTACAAGTCTCAGGATGAACGGGAATATGGCTGCAGGGGTTCTCTGTGTCTCAGCAAGGCGGTCATCACAGTAAGTACTGACTCTTCCATGAGGAAGACAACTTTACCCTTCCACGCAGTAGAATGATGCTCGACACCTCTGCAACGTGTCATTTCTCTCATTACTGCTCAAAGTTTGAATCCTGTTGTAACACTTTGTTCTTTTTTGTCCAATCCACTCCCCTTGAAGCAAAAAATAATTAAGCTAATATTATGATCACAAATACGCTGGGAGTTATATTACTCCTTGGAATTAGTAACTAATTTCTACCTGTAATTTAACAATTGAATATTATTTTTTTGTGTGTGTGTATTTGTTTGAACAGGCCTTTTCCCATGACACTTAAATTGAAGTGGGTGTTTTCTCTCGTCATGTAAACTTTGAATGCATGCTGTAGCAACTGAATTAATTCTGTGCATGTGTGATGTGCTGAAATTTCTCATTCTTGTTGAACACTGATTGAATCCTCTTTAAGCGACGGAGAACGTGGACCAAACAAAGGGTTCGACTGAGATTTGTGCATGATTCTGCCACAGTTTTACTTAAAATAGCTAAATTGAAGCATACAGTCAGCCTATTTCAGTGAGTGTTTGCTCATGTGAATAAATTGTCAAATACTGTGCATGTGCTGAGCACAGTAAAGCTCCTTGAAACATCAGTTTTCTAATTGCATTTTAGTAGCCTAAGTAGGCATGCCCATTTTTATTACAGGCTGTTTGTAGTAATCAGTAGTATGAACTATACAGCCGTTTCTTACTGTCATGGCATATCTTAATTTTAAATACACTTCAGTTTCAAGAGATGTGGGATTGTAGGAGGGGGAAAAAAGCTAAGATTTTTCTGACACTAGTTTAAAACCCTCTTCTGTGCTTGCACTGAAGATTTCAGTCTCGTACATGAAATGATTGCAGCAGTGGGAAGAAAAATGTTCCAGTCTGCACTATCGAGCCATAAACTTGATTGCAAAGCAGAGGTTTATGATCTGTGTCTGACACAGTACAGTAAGATAGATAATACTGTTCTCTAACCAGTAACTGTATTGCTGGGTGCACTTGGTCTTACTATTGCTTTTGTTAAAGGTTTGTTCTGTTTGTTTTTTGTTTTTTTATCAGAATGCATTATTGTCACACCAGCCTCTGTAATAAAAGCTTTTAGAATTAGGGAAACTATTCACCCAGCTTGCATTTACCAAATTCAACTTGTGACATGTACTATCAGTGTGCAATTGGAACAACATGTTGCACATAGTTACGCAGACTGAGAACTGCAGGCCACAATTTAATTTCTCTGTTGTCAGTGGCTGCAAATAAGGCAGCACATGAGCGTAATTCAGCAAATCAAATTAAACTTGGACAATGTAAGGTTTGGTCAGCTGACGGAGCAGAGGTACGCTTAATGATCCTGAAGAGAAACTCTGACTGAAAACCTGGGCAACTCAAGATATCCATGTTGTTTTGTTTTGTGAACTTTTGCAGAGCAGCTCAACTGTCAGCTGAGTGCGGTGAGCAAATTCCAATCGGAGAGGAAACGAGTGAATTCTTTATTGCACGTGTTCAAATGCCTGAGGCGGTCAACGAGTGGAGCTGGGTGGGGTGCGTTGTAGAGTGGGGGAGTTTAGTAGTTGAAGGATTCCTCCCTGGAGTGGAAGGAAAGGTCATGAAAATCCTGCAAAAGGTTCCATGTTCTATTTTGTTTTCTCACTACTCTACCCCAGTCATTTAGGGGTGGGACAGCAGACACAAGACATGAATTTTCATTTAAGTTTTCTGTTTATTGTGGGACATGTGGTTTTCTGTGACTGATTGAGTCCATGTGCTTCTAGAATGTGTCATTGCTATTCAGTGTTGAAGACAAAGACCTCTTGAAACAGTGTTTTGCTCGTGCTTTTCAGTAATTTCACAAAGGTGGTGGAAGTTTTTAAGTTTCTGTATTTTGACGTTCTGATATATGTAGTTTTTTTGGTTGTTTAGTTTTCCTGACACTGCTTGATATCTATTCATTAGCCATCTCCTCTCTCTCTGCAGCCTCACGAGTTTGATGAGTGTCGTTTTGACATCAGCATGAACGACAGTGTTTGGTACCTCAGAGCAGAAGATCCTGAGCACAGACTTCAATGGATCGAGTCAATAGAACTACATAAAGTGAGTTGTTATTTTGTTGTTGTTGTTGCATAAATATATGCTTTTTAGTTTGTTTAATTTTCATTGAGTTTTTGTCATGTTGAACTTCTACAGTAAGTTCAAGATTACAGACTACAAGGCCACTCATTTCCTGAATCCAGTTCATTCCTTTGTGTGATGTTTAACTGTCTTGACTTAGTTTATCATTTAAGTTAATGTTAGCTCACTCCTCATTGTTTTCATAAAACTGTTCAGCCATCACACATTTTTCTCACCCTTACAATCAATCTTGTACTTAAAAAAAAAAAAAAAAAAAAAGTATTAAAAACTGTTCATAAATATTGTTTGAATATTAACATTTAAAACAGCTGAATAATGTTAAATGTTGTAATTTCTGGATGCCTGCATCAAACTTTTTTTTGCCTCAGCTTTGCTACTTGTTGCCCTGTTCCCCATCACATTTGGCTACAGACCAGAAGCTATGGGATCTTGTAGCAGCTAAAAATGGCTTAATTTATTGCAACTGTCAAAAAGCACAGTTTAGGAAAGAGCCACATATTAACAAAATCATGTTGCGTTTTACAGTAAATTACATTTTTGGTGTCCAATTCCATTTTCTACATGGGGGAAATCATCATCATCTAACCATCACTTCCATCCGTTTGGATACATTATTCTAATACTTCTGGTGTTAAAGTTGAATTGGTGGTCAGTTTTCACCCTCACATCTGATATGGAGTTTTGTACTTCTTGTTCTGCGAACAGGGTGTGACGGTTCAATCATTCCAGCACACATACAGAGTTTGGTACTCTGGGAATGAGAAGAATCTGAGTGAGATGTTTAGTCTCACTCAGATGAGACTCTACTAAGTGGGATACTCCCACCTAGTGAGTGGGGGTATCCCCAATCACTAAATAAAGCTGCTCTGTGAAATGACCTCTAATGATATATGGATTCCAAGATGAGTAGGTAAAGAAGATTGAATATGTTTCATATAGCAGGGTTTTTAGTTGTATTATTTTCTGAGGTGTTTTCACGAGTCTAGCTTTGATGAGCTTTTGTGTCAAGGGTCTGTTCAGCTACAGTTACTTGCATCATCTTTGCTTCTTACAATATTCTACATGAAGATCATATTACATAAATTTGTTGCCATTATGTATTGTTTACCACATGTGGCTGAGGTGATTTGTAACAATTATGTAGAGTTTTTATTCTAGTGTTTCACCTACAGTTGTCTATCTGAATCCCCTTTTATGTGAAAATTAACAAATTTAAAAGTAAAAAATAATGTCAAATAAGACACGGGGAAGTGGAGCGCTGTGTTTGTATTGCGTGTGGTTTGGAGTCTGAGCTGAGCTGCTACAATCTCCGCTCTCCATCCAGAAGTGGAGGAGCTTCATGAAGGGGTAGGGAATTTGGTAGGCGGGGTGCTCGGTTCTGTTGACAGGACACCCACCGTGAATAATGGTAGGGGCAACACTGATCGTGTGTGTCATGATGCAAGCTCAATAATCCAGATAGATAAATCTAACAAGGTTAAGCCGGATTCTTTGTTTTTCAACAAATAATCCGTCCAGAGGACCTGACTTAATCTCGTTAAAGTGATCGTGCAACATTAAGTCAAATGTTTAAAGTTACGTTTTGTAGTGGCTATGGTAGTCTGTCAACGGGGGGTTAGCAGTGCGTTGCGATACTATGCTAGGTATGGGTTGGGGGGAGGTTGTAGGCAGGATTCTGTCGGGTTCTTGGTTCTGTTGACAGGACAGGCCACCCTCCTTGGATAATGATAAGGAAACAATGGGATTAATATAAAGTAAAAATAAAATAAACTGGGATCCATGCAACACACACTCACACACACATTCGCTCTGGTTCATTAACAACAGTGTGACATTTTTCAGGGTTATGCCTGAATCATGACCTGCAGTAACCTCAGACAAGTTACTGCAGCGTTCCTGTAGGTAGAGCGTCTACGCTGCGCCCAAACGGACAGAAGCATTTGCATCGGGCAAGTTCACAAATTGCACGTTTTAGATTTAAGCTGCAGGACCAAAGTTGAGTTGTCTAACTTGTCTTCTTCTACTTTGTTGAAACATATTCTTTGCTTCTTCCATTAATGTGACCATTTATTTGTTTTGACTGTCCAAGTCATAATCTTAAAATATCCTGTCATAAAAATGTATATGTAAAGCACCCTTTAAAAATGCAATTGTAAGATTTAATGATAGTTGTAATCATTATTGGTCACTTTATTGCCTTGCATTTTTAGTATTATCTTACATTGCTAGGTTCAGGTAGATTATTGTCAGTAGCAGCTGCACATGGGCCTTAGTACGGGTTGAACATGTCATTAGTGCCGCTTTTAAAAACCCATTAGTTGCAGCTTTGCAAATGCAGACAATTTCTGTATGTATTACAACATGAAGTTGCTTTGGGAAAAACGTTTTTTGTGCAAGTTCATTTGTGCTTTTATATGTGGGCGTGTTTGTGTTGGTGGTGAGTAAAGTGGTGCTAAATGTGTTTTATGTTAAGAACTGCTCTTGATCAGGATTGCATGACTTTTTTTTTTTTCTTTTCAAAACAAAGGTTAAAAACTCTTCTTCATACCGATGAAACACTTGCTTAGGAAAATTATAGGGATGGTACTTGTGAAGATGGGGGGAAATTACTTGAACAGTTCTTGGGTTTTTCCTCTCTTTCTATTTAGTTTAATTGTGTCAAGAGTGAACAGTGTTGACCCAGATCAAGGAGATAACGGCAAATAAAGTTAGAAGGGCAAACCAAGAGTCATTCAGAAAAGATGATAATGTATAGAATCCAGACAAATGTTGCTCCTTGCCTCCCACTCGTACACGCCGTCTCTCTCTTTTGCTGTGTCATAATACACAGTAGGCTGCTTCACTCGCCCACCTTTTCAGTACTTCATTAGTTTATTACACAAACGGCTCCAGACAGCGCTCGTCTTTTCTCTAGCGCATCCATCCATGCATGCACACACTGTTTTTACTCCGCTTTCACTCTTCTCAATGCAAGTGCACACTGTCGTGGATGCTTGCTCAGTGATGGATGATGGACAGAAACACAGGCGTGATGAAATGGTTTCACATATCCGGGTATGTGGTCTTTTGTTTTATGGGTGTAGAAAGGGTGGAGTGCATACATGAGTGGCTGTATTTTAGCATTTGTGTGAAAGCAGACAGCTTGATTATTAGCAGACGCTGCATCGCTCAGTCGAAGAATTACAGGACTCCTTTTCTGTTTCTTCCGCTTTTAAAGAACATCTAGTTTCTGTTCCTCATCTAATTGCTTTGAAGCAAACTATTACTTTTTCTTTGTCGGTCTGCTTCCCGTATACGTTTTCATTCACTTGAAAAAGGTTGTCATGTTCCTGTTCTTCACCTCCTCTTCCTTCTTGTTCTTTAGTGAGGTGTGCCCAGGGAAACGTGGAAACTGGATTAAAGCTACTGCATTTTCAGATCAGAGTGGTGGGGGAGAGTCTGGCCATGTTGGGGCCAGCAAACCGTCAGGACTGCAGCAGTGTCCTGCTCTGCTTTGGCTGTGGGATTGGCAGAATGGTGGGCTTATAGTGTGTTGGCATGCTGCCTGTTCACTGTCATTCAACTCTTTACATAATATGCTAGTTTTAAAATTAACGCATTGTGTAATTATTTTGTTTTGCACATAAATTGTTTTATTTGCATGCAGTTTTTGACATGAATGGCACTAATGAAACTGAATCACTATCAAATTCCTGCATGTGCTTAGAGTTGCTATTAATCAGTTTATTCTGCATGTTTGTATGCTAAGAGGTTGTTTCACAAGCAGCAGTTGGTATAGATGAGTTCTCAGAGGTTGTTGTGGACACTGCACGTCAGTCATTGAAATTATAACTCCACAAGATATCTTTTTTTGTGTGTGTGTATGAGTGGGTGTTCAGTTTGCAGAAATTTCACGTGGATGAGCAGGTGCACAAAGAAGGCGTTGTTTGCCACCGGCTCTCATTGGTCCTCTTTGCTTCAAAGCAGCATCATTTTATAAAAGTAAACAGAATTTTGGGCTCAAAAGCAATAACTCATAATAGATCACTTTTAAAATTGACAATATTTGCACAATAAAGACATGATGAAGAAAATAAATGTTAGAGCTGGACAATATTGACCAGAAATAATATATCAACATTTTTAGCTGAAAGGCAATATATGATATATCCTGATGTTTTTTTTCTTCCCAAAAAGTAATAAAATTAAAAAAAATAAAATAAAACGCGTCTCAAATGTCATTCAGTCAAAGCTAAAAAATGAACTTTTGACGTATATATTCTAAAAGAGTTCCTCAAATTGAATAAAATAATGTTCTTCTTATCCTGCATAACAAAAGACTTGCAACTGTGCAATTGAAATGTAAATTGCAACAATACCGAACAAACATAACAAAAGGCTAATTTATTCTTAAAAAAAAAAATCAAATGAACTGATTTTTATTGTGCTCGCCAATGCACCATATTAGCCATGTTGTTGCTGTTGTTATTATTATTATTATTGTTGTTGTTGTTGTTGTTGTTGTTGTTGTTGTTGTTGTTGTTGTTATCATCATTATTATTATCGTTATTATTATTAACCTTTTATTTAACCAGGCAAATCCCATTGAGATCACAGATCTCTTTTGCAAGGGAGGCCTGGGCTTGAAGGCAGCCTAACATGCATGTTTTTGATCTGTGGGAGGAAACCGGAGTCCCCGGAGAAAAAAACACGCAAGCACGAGAAGAACACGCAAACTCCACACAAAGACCCCAGGTCCAACCGGGGATTGAACCCAAGACCTTCTTGCTGTGAGGCAACAGTGCTAACCGCTGAGCTGTCGTGCTGCTGTTGTCAGTAGTTATAGCAGCAAGTTCTGTAGGGTTGATATGATGGACCGCTGCTTCAGTAATGTCATGAACCATCTCACATTTATCTCATAAAGCACAGCGCAGTGTAAGTTTATACCGTGGTTTGTTTCGGGGTAGAGGGCTGGGAAGGCT